GTAATGTTTTTTCGTTAGTTCTTGTAGTATCATATCCTATATTACTTTCTAGTAGTGTAATTGAGTTTTTTCGAAGTTGGTGTTTGTGACCATATCCTATATTACTTGTCAAAGTGAATTGTTTTTTCGTAAATTGGTTCTTGTGATTGTATCCTATATTACTTTCAGAGTGAATGAATTTTTTCGAAGTTGGTGTTCGTGACCATATCCTATATTACTTTCAGAGTGAATGATTTTTTCTTTTCGAAATTTATTTTTGGTGAATGAAATTCTCAGCTGAGTTAATACAATGATCCTTTTTGGTTTGCTCTTTTAGGCACATTTAATGGGAAAATGTGATCCAATTTTCAATGAAAGACGCAAATAAACTGATAAAACAGCAATGTTTTGGGTTGATTGCCCAGAGATATGGCATATAAATATATGCTATTGAAATAAAACAAAAAAAATTCCGAAATAATGGCAGTACGTAGTTTAGTCAAGTCTTGTAATTTGATATAGAAAGATAGTCTCCATATATGTCAGCGTTAAGTTTACATACTTATAACGCTAAAATTCGGGGTTCGATTCCCTGCGGTGCCCCCCCCCCCATTGGCAGCGGTATGTCTGCGGTCTCCCAACGCTAGAAACCGGGTTTCGGTACCTGGTGATGGGCAGAGCACAGATTGCTCATTGTGTAGCTTTGTGCTTAATTTCGAACCCAACTTGCAAGTTTGCACCTGCGGTGGACAGAGTACAGATAGATTATTGTGCAGTTTGCTCTAAAAAATTAAACAATTGACGCGGAGTCAAATTAAGAAAATATTTAAGACAACAAAAAGAGAAAGTAGAGATGTATATATTAATAAAAAATATATGAGAAATATCAAATACTTTTAGAGATTTCAGTCACTATCTTCCAGTGATATTGAAACTATCAGTTAATTTTTTTAATCATTCATTTAGATCCATAATAAATATCAATATTTCCTTAGCATACAATAATATATCCTTTGTTAAGTTCTTTGGCCCATGATGCCTAATGTAAAATACTTTGTTTGTTTCGGAATTCTGCGCAAAGCTTCTCGAGGGCTATCTGCGCTAGCCGCCCCTAATGTAGGAGTGATAGACTAGAAAGAAGCTCATTAGTCAACACTACTCTGCCCCCCAGTGGCACAGTGGTATGTCTGCGGAAACCGGGTTTCGATACCCGTGGTGGGCAGAGCACAGATAGCCCATTGTATAGCTTTGTGCATAACTTCAAACAAACAAACAACACTACCCACTAACAACTTTTGGGCTACTCTTTTATCAACGAAAAGTCAGACTGACCATCACATCATAACTCCACCCACGGCTGAAAGGGCGAACATGTTCTGTGATGGGATTAGAACTCGCGACCCACAGATTGAAATTCGAGCGCCCCATTCACAAGGCCAATAAACTAAACATGCCATACCATTAAGTATTCCATTGTAGGGAACTTTTCTATGCTGAAGGGTTGTTTGAAACTTCTGATATTCAGAATGAAATGGTTTCTTTTAAAGCAGTTTTAACCTAAATGAACTAGGCGGTAAGTGGATCTTGTTAGCATATTATCAGAAAATATCTTATGTCTTGATATTTCTTTTGACGAATACACAACTTGTAATGAATTACAAACAAATGGTTAAATTTAATAAAACAAATTTAGTAACGTGTAATTTTTTTTAATTTCATTAGGGAAAGAAACAGTGCTCCACGACGACCTCTTCGTTTGATGTCGGTGAGTGATTATGTGATATTGAAACCATGCAAAAGATTAATAATTATCACCTTTCTGAAAGGGCAGTAGTTTTGGGCGTCAATTTCGTTAATTTTATGATTTCGGAATTGTGTTGTATTTTGAATGTTGTGCAATAATGAAATGATATTGAAGTTATAATTACTCGTTATCTAAAAGTGCATTATGCAAGGAGATAATTTTTCTTTTGTATTTGGCACTTCCAATTCTCAAAAAGAAATTTTATCGGCAGAATGCAGAAACGGTCCCTTATGGTAAGTTATACATGGCAAACTGTAGTCAGAGGAAGAGAATATGTTCTATTAGGACCCCTAGAGGAACTCTGAAGGCCATCTAGGCTATTGTGTGACGCGGCTACCATCTGTAACAAATGACACGGTAGTCCTCAGGGACCACTTGAGCAATCCTCATTTGTGTGTTCGCTTGTGGATCAAATATCGAGCCAGTAGGATGGTTATAAATGGATGATTATATGCTGCTAGTGGTAGTAACAACGCTTTCAGCTGTGTTTGGATCATAGATTCGTATTCGTCCCCGTATTTCTTATATAAATGGATGATTATATGCTGCTAGTGGTAGTAACAACGCTTTCAGCTGTGTTTGGATCATAGATTCGTATTCGTCCCCGTATTTCTTATATAAATGGATGATTATATGCTACTAGTGGT